AAAATGTCCATACTATCTAAAGAAATCTACTGATTTAATGCAATCCCTTTCAAAATACTAAGGGCTTTTTTTCACCAAAAAAGAATAAACAATCCTAAAATTTGTATGGAAGTACAAAAGATTCCAAATGGCCAAAGCAATTTTGAGACAGAAGAATCAAGCTGGAGGTATCACACTTTCTGATCTAAACTATATTACAAAGCCATAGTAATCATACAGTATGATACTGGCATAAAAAATAGACACACAGATCAATGGAAAAGAACAGAGAGCCCAGAATTAAGCCCAAGCATATATGGTCAATTAATTTACAACATAAGAGACAAGAATGTACAATAGGGAAGAGACAATCTCTTCAATAAATGGTGCTGGAAAAACTTCCAGCTACGTACAAAAGCATGAAACTGGACCACTATCCTACATGCACAAAATAGCCTAAAATGGATTAAAGACTTGAATATGAAACCTGAAATTGTACAACTCCTTAAGAAAATATAGGTGGTAAGAGCCTTGACTTCAATCTTGGGGACAATTTTTTGGATCTCACACTAAAAGGAAAGGCAACAAAAGAAAAATAAACACGTGGGACTAACATCCAACTAAAAAGTTGCACAGCAAAGGACCATCAACAAAATGAAAGACAACCTACTGAATGGGAGAAAATATTTGCAAATCATATATGTGATGAGGGGTTAATATCCAAACTATATAGAGAACCCAACAACTCAACAGCAAAAAATCTAATTAAAAATGGGCACAGGGTCTGGGGTGCCTGGATGCTACAGTTAGTTAAGTACCTGTTTCTAACTTTTGGCTCAAGTGGTGATCTCAGGGTCATAAGATCAAGCCCCGCATCATTCTCCATGCTGAGTGTAAAGCCTACTTGAGATTCTCTCTCCCTCTCTCTCACTGCCCCTCCCCAACTCATGCACATGCTTTCTCTCTCTCTTAAAAAAAAAAAAAGGCAAAGGGTCTAAGTAGGTATTTTTCTAAAGACAGCATACAGATATCCAACAGGTACATGAAAAGGTGCTCAACATCAGTAATCAAAGAAATACAAATCAAAACCTCAATGAGTTATCTCCTGCTATTAGCAAAAAGACAAGAAATAACAAGACTTGGCAAGGATGTGGAGAAAAGGGAACGCTTGCACACTTGGTAGGAATTTATACTACAGAAAACAATAAGGAAATTATTTAAAAAAAATAGAACTACTATTTGGGGAATTCAACTTCTATGTATTTGTCTGAAGCAAACAAAAATACTAACTCAAAATGGTATCTACATTCCCATGTTCATTAGTATTATTCACAATAGCCAAGTCATGGAAACAACCTTACAGTGTCCATCAGTGGTTGACTATGATATAAATACACAATGGAATCCTTTTCAGCCATAAAAGTCAAGGAAAGCCTGTTGTTTCTGACAACATAGATGGATCTTGAGGGCATTATAGTGAAATAAGTCAGACAGAGAAAGACAGATATCATATGATCTCACTCATATGTGGAATGTTAAAAAACAAATACCACAATAACCCAACTCCTAAATACAGAAGAGTTTGGTGTTTATCAGAGATGGGGGTGGTGGGAGAAACAGGTGAATGTTATCAAAAGGTAGAAACTTTCATTTATAAAATAAGTCACGAGGATATAATGTACAGCATGATGACTATAGTCAATAATACTATCAAGGGCACATGAATGATTTTAGTTGATTGAGCATCCCACTCTTGGTTTCAGATTGGGTCATGATCCCAGTGTCATGGGATCAAGCCCCACATCAGGCTCTGTGCTGGGCGTGGAGCCTGCTTGGGATTCTTAAAAATAAAATTTTAGGGGCACCTGGGTGGCTTAGTCGGGTAAGCGTCTGACTTTCGCTTAGGTCATGATCTCTCAGTTTGTGGGTTCGAGCCCCGCATCAGGCTCTGTGCTGACTGCCAGCTCAGAGCCTGGAGCCTGTTTCAGAGTCTGTGTCTTCCTCTCTCTCTGACCCTCCCCTGCTCACGCTGTCTCTTTCTCTCTCTCCTAGAAATAAATAAAAATATTAAAAAATAAAATAAAATAAAATTTTTAAAAATAATAAAAACACTGTATTATATTTCTGAAGGGTGATGAGAAAATAAATGTTAAAGTTTTTTATCACAAGAAAAAATTCTAACTGGTTATAGATATTAACTAGACATACTGTGGTAATGATTTCACAATAAATCAAATCATATTGTATACCTAAAACTAATATAGAATTATATGTCAATTATATCATCTTTTTAAATGTAATATCAAAATTTTTAAAATAAATATTCAAATTTTTATTAAACATACATAGAATTACCCTGTCAAACTCTCTTAAAGGTTTACAATTGCTTCTTTTTTTCAATCACAAATCATAGGCAGTTAACAGATCAGTAAAAATTAGTTTGATGATCAGTTATTAGTCTTCATCCCATACTTTTACTACCACTGGTCAAAGAGTAACTCTCCATTAAATTTAGGAAGAAAGCTCATATAATAAATCTGAGATGAAATAACACAAACACTGGATGTGTTCAAGTCAGAAAGACCTCAAGTGTTATGCAACTTTTGAACTTTAGAATTTTTCTAAACAAAAATATCCCAAAGTAGCAAGTAATTTTGAGTTAATGACAGATAAGTAATATGTATTTTTATAGAAATATAATCATCAGGGAACCTGAGTACCTCAGTGGGTTAAGCACATGATTCTTGATTTTAGCTCCGGTAGCACCAAGTTGGGCTCTATGCTGACAGCACTGGCCTGCTTCGGATTCTCTCTCCCTCCCTCTTTCTCTGCCCCTCCCACACTTATGTTCTCTCTCTCTCTTTCTCTCTCTCAAAAATGAATAAACATTTTTAAAAAAAGGAAATACAATCATCATCAAGGCATTTCTTGGTGCCAAGACAAGGAGAAATAAGATGCTGCTGATAAGTTTTTAAAAACACAATGTACTCAGGAAGGTAATCTAAATAAATAGGGGAAATAAGTAATAATATGTTAACATAAGTATAGTGCCAAATGAGTGGTATATGCACACATGCACTAAGTGCTATTACAGAAGCATAAGTGGTGCTTATAAATACCCACGAGTTATACACAATTGTTTCAAGGATGAGAAAATATAAATTAATGTCTAATACTATGAATAATGGGAAATTAGACTGTAGCACTATATCTTTTTTTTCCAGTCTAATGGCATATAAATTTAAGTAACGATGTCTCTTTTTAAAAGCATCATATTGATATACTAAGCCAGGACCCACCAGGTATATCGCTGCTATGAGAGCAAAGAACCTATAAGCAAATACAGTATTCTTTCCCATTGTGTAAAAAAAAAAAAAAAGAGGGGGCTTATAATTCAACTCAGTTTTCTAGGTAATCACCACTAATCACCTAGAATTGACACTTAGATGAAACTTATTTGCCAAGCCAAGTTTTAAGTTATAATTTTAAGAACAGAAAGAACTATGTAGAAATAGTCTACTCATTTGATTTCAGTGCAGATATTAGCCCTAAAGGTATGTATGAAAATCACTGGTACTTTCATACTATTTTGAGGTTTGGCTATTGAGGTCTCTAGAGTTTTCAGTATTTCAATTTGTTTAAATTGGAATTATCTTAAGTATTTCTCTTTCTACTAAGGGTATATTAAAAAGTTCTGTAGGAAACTAACGGAATGGGAGGAGATATTCGCAAACAATCTATCAGATAAAGGGTTAGTATCCAAAATCTAAAAAAAGAACCTAGCAAACTCAACACTCAAAAAAACAAATAATCCAAACAAATAATCCAGTGAAGAAATGAGAAAAAGACATGAAGAGACATTTCTCCAAAGACATTCAGATGGCCAAAAGACACATGAAAAAATCCTCAACATCACTCTTAATCAGGGATGACAAACCAAAACCACAGTGAGATATCACCTCACACCTGTCAGAATGACCAACATTAACAACTCAGGCAACAATAGATATTAGCAAGGATGTGGGGAAAGAGGGTGGGAATGCGAACTGGTGCAGCCACTATGGAAAACATAATGGAGGCTCCTCAAAAAATTCAAAACAGAACTACCCTATGACCCAGCAATTGCACTACTAGGCATTTATCCAAGGGATACAGGCATGCTGTCTCAAAGGAGCAAATGTGCCCCAATGTTTATAGCAGCACTGTCAGCAATAGCCAAAGTATGGAAAGAGCCCAAATGTCCATCAATGGGTGAATGGATCAAAAAGATGTGATATGTATATATAAAAATATATGTGTGTATACACACACACACACACAGTGGAGTATTACTTGGCAATAAATGAAATCTTGCCATTTGCAATTATGTGGGTGGAACTAGAGGGTATTATGCTAAGCAAAATTAGTCAGAGAAAGAAAAATATCATCTGACTTCACTCATATAAACACTTTAAGACACATAACAGATGAACATAAGGGAAGCAAAAATAATATAAAAACAGAGGGGGACAAAACATAAGAGACTCTTAAATATGGAGAACAAAACAGAGGGTTACTGGATGGGTTGTGGAATGGAGGAGGGGCTAAATGGATAAGAGGCATTAAGGAATCTACTCCTGAAATCATCGTTATTGTATATGCTAACTAACTTGGATATGAACTTTAAAAAATAAATTAAAAAATTAAATTTATGCTTTCAAAAATTTTTTAACATCTTATTTATTTCTGAGAAAGAGAGACAGCATGAGAAGGGGAGGGTCAGAGAGAGAGGGAGACACAGAATCTGAAACAGGCTCCAGGCTCTGAGCTGGCTGTCAGCACAGAGCCTGACAGGGGGCTCAAACCCACCAACCGTGAGATCATGACCTGAGCCGAAGTCGCACGCCCAACCGACTGAGCCACCCATGCACCCTAAATTTATGCTTTCAATGGCAAAAAAAAAAAAAGTTCTGTTAACAATTTTAATTAAGGACCTTTATTAGATGTCATATAATTAATGTTATGATATTTTATTTTTAAAGGAGAAAGGAGAGAAGACTACATAGAACAGGTAAAATACTTTCTTTTACTGTTTATTTTTAGAAAATTAAATTCCAAGAGAAAAGCATACTATATGTGATTATTTTCAACTCAGAAAAAGATGCCCACTGGTATACATTAATGAGAAAATATTTTTCTAGATAACTGTTCAGTTTTTTAGTATTTCAGGGCTGTAATTATTATTAAAATAGTTATTTTTGAAAATAAAATCTGCAATGTGGGATATGTACAAATGAAATTATATACATGAAATTTGCTTTATAATAATACAGTGGGGAGTAAGTAGGAGGGATATACATGAATTGAAGTCACCATGAGTTGGTAATTGATGAAGGTGGGTGATGAGTAAAACAAGCAGTTTAAATATACTATTCTGTCTACTCTGGTATATGTTTGAAAGCATCCAAAGTTAAAAGTTTAAAAATAAAAGGTTTATTATAATATTAACATGGTTTTCAAATTCATTTATATTTATGTATAATTTCATAAGTAATGCATGTGGGGTCTCTCTCCAAATTCTGCCATTTTAAATTCATTTTGAGGAAATATCAATGCTCTATTATAATAATTTCAAAAAGGATAGGTCTAATTTGGAGAAAGTCTCATCATTTTATTAAAAGTTCTCAGTGGATTGCCATAGTAACTGATTCATTATGAGATGAGTTTGAATCATTGTTCTACAATTACTAGCATTATACTTTGGAAAATCAATTCATCTATGTATGCCTTAACTTTTTCATCCAGAAAACAGATAATTCCACATACCTCACAGGATTTTTACAAAGGGGTATTGTGACTATGTATGTGATAGGACTTTGTTAATTAATATGGAACTATACTAATGATAGTAATTATTAAACCACTGTTTCAATCTACTATCTTTATAGATATATTTATAATAAAGATAATTTTATTTCTTGATTTGTTTAGAGAAAAAATTCCATGTTACAGTTGAATATACATTCATATAATCTACACTTAATTTGCTAAAGCTTAAAGAACCTTAACTATAAATTTTATATTTTTTTTAAATAGGTTTTTTTTTTTTTAGAACACTTGTTAAAGAAAACTGCATCCTGTCAAATCTTTACACACATCAACTTGAACACATAAGTGCACATGACATCCCATCAAGAAACTGATTTCCCAAGGATCTTTCTGGAAGGGTTGTTATATAGAATAAGAAGAATATCAGTATGTGTACTAAAGTACAGGATGGTTATCATAACCTAATTTTCAGGCCATAAGTCTTCAAATTCAGATATTAATACAATTTAAATTCAGATTAGCACCAATCATATACACTTCATGTTCAATCTTCTAGTTTCTTGTTAAGGAAGACACAGATAAAATCCAGATTATAAGAGCTTGTCATTATTGCTTACAAAAGCTATATCTCATTCAAAATTTTCATATACTGCATTTTAAATTATGATTTTATGTGTGTCTGTATAATTTTCTTTTAGTAACTATTTTTCAGCATATTTCTCTATCACCTATTTATTTAACTTTAACCAACTGAATATATTCGATAAGAACTAAGTTTTAAAAATAAAAAAAGAAAGCAAAGAAAATAACAAAATAAAATAATGCTATATATCTCTCAACTGCTGACTACGTGCTGGCACTGGTCTCAACACTTTAAATGTTTTAATTCAGTTAATTCTCACAACAACCATATGAGGTAAATATTACTATTAGTCCCACTTTATAGACAAGGAAACAGATACAGATATTAAGTAACTTCCTCACAGTTTATAAAGTATCCTGCTGGAATTCAAACCCAAACAATCCTCTTCTAGACCAGAGCTTCTTGACCTCAAAGCTACTGACTTTTGGGGCTAGATAATTCTTCTGTTTTGGGGGAGCTGTCCTGTGCACTATGGGCCTTAGCAGCATCCTTACCTTCCATATACCAGATGCTAGTAGCTACCCTACCCCAGTCATGACAACCAAATAACATCTCCAGACATTGTCAAAGGAGCAAAATGGCAAAATCACCCCCAGTTGAGAAATCCCGTTCTTGAGTAAACCTTATACAACAGTGACTCTCTAAAAACTACCCATATAAAAGTAGGAAAAGCCAGAAAATAAAAAAAAGAAAAATCACCTATAATCCCACCATCCAAGATAATCATTAACATTACCAGGTTTCAGACTTTTTAAGTTTCCCTCATTACATTCCTCTCCCTCCACCTACTCTCTCAGTCCTTAATTTTGTGTTAATCATTCCCTTGCTGGAAACCAACTTGACAATAAACTATTTTTTAAAAAATCATTCCCTTGCTATCTGTACAGTTTTCCAATATGTGGCTATATTCCTAAATAATGTAATATATAGTTTTACTTATTTCTGAACTTCATATAAGGTGAAACATAGTGTATTCTTTTAGTTACATGTTTTTTTTCACTCAATACTATGTTTCTGAAATACATCCTTGCTGATATGTATTGATGTATGCTTATTCATTTCCACTGCCAATTGTTTTTACTGGATGAATATCATAAATTGTTCATCTACTCTGTTGATGGACATTTAGGTTGTCTTCAGCGTTTTCTATTATACCCAGTGCTGCTATGAACATTTTCCTATATATCCCTAGGGTACATACCTGGGAAAAGAATTTCTGGTCAAGGCAATACATATCTTTAATTTTGATAAATCTTTTTTTAAAAAATTTTAATGTTTTATTTATTTCTGAGAGAGAGAGAGACAAGAGTGAGCAGGGAGGGTCAGAGAGAGGAGGAGATACAGAATCTGAAACAGGCTCCAGGCTCTGAGCTAGCTGTCAGAACAGAGTCCAACGTGGGGATCGAACCCACAAACTGTGAGATCATGACCTGAGCCGAAGTCAGACACTCAACTGACTGAGCCACCCAGGTGCCCCTAATATTGATAAATAATTCTAAATATTTCTCAAAGTAGTTTTACCAATTCACTTTCCAGTAGCCAAAGATAAGAGTTTCCACTGGTCTTGCTAATACTTACATTTAACATTCATATTTTTCCATTTCTGCCATTCCTACTAGCTATGAAATAGTTTATCACTGAGGTTTTAATTTGCTTTTGTCTGGGGCACCTGGGTGGCTCATTTGGTTAGGCATCCAACTTCAGCTCAGGTCATGATCTCACAACTCATGAGTTGCAGCCTCTTGTCATGCTCTGTGCTGACAGCTTGGAGCCTATAGCCTGCTTTTGATTCTCTCTCTCTCTCTCTCTCTCTGATAAACATTTAAAAATTAAAAAAAAATAATTATTTGCACTTGCCTGATTAATAAAATTGAACATCTATACCTATATTTCTGATTATTTATGATTCTTCATTCTAGAAATACCTAATTACTCTTTCACTCATTTCTTAGTTTCTTTGCCTTTTTCTCACTGATTTGTAATTTTTTTATACATTCTGGAAACTAATCTTTTGTTAGTGTTACAAATAACTTCTTGTTTGTTGCCTGTCTCCTCCCTGTGTTTATGGTTGATAAAGAGAAATCCAACTGCATTAAAGATAATGTACTACCCTTCCCCTTTATGGTGTGTTTTTAATGTCTTAAGATGTTCCTCCCTTCTCCCAGTGTCACATACATATTCTATTACTAAAACTTTGCCTTTAACATTTATGTTTAACATAAATGTGGGTTTGTGTGTGCCTATTAATTACATGTATGCCCAGAATTAAAATGAAGTAATTCTAAACATATACAGGAAGTCGACTACTATTCTAAGTTAGAGCTTAACTCTTGCTTGGATAAGCAAAGTCTACAAATGGCCAAACAGATCAAGCATGACATGACCAAATTTATTTAAGTTGATTATATAATTAATTAGGCTCCACAGATACATCTTTTTTAGAAAGGGTGTCAGTGTAAACTGAAGAGATTTGTTCCATTCTTAAGAAACAGAGCAAACCAAATTTCTCAAAGTATAGATCAACAAACGACTTAGCCCTTGTATATTTAATTCTAAATCCCCAATTATACAAGTATAGCTAGGTATTATTCTTTCTATGGCAATTTTTTACATTTAAATGTCAAATTTCTATCATTCTCTTGCCTAAAACCAACAGCATAAAGTCCAAGCTCTTTAATATAGTACAAAAAACTCTCCATTCCTAACCTATGCCTTTCTCTCCAGTTTCATCTCCTGCTATTCACCACCCAAGAGTGTCTGAGTTGTTTCACTGCCATATATCCCTAATACCTGTTCTATCACTTTGGTGTACTCTAGGTGTCAATAAATGCTGACTGAACCAAACTAGACCTATATAAACTTAGGTAGCTTATCATTAACACTATTTCTTCCAACTTTTTATTATGAAAAATTTCAAGTACACAAAAAAAGTTGTGAGAATTGTAATCATCCACATAACTACTACCCAGATTCTACATTTATTGCTTTATAGTAATTGCTTTATCATGTATCTGCCCATCAACCAATCCTTCTATCAATCCATCTTATATTCTGATACCAAGTAAATGACAGACATCCATACACTTCATGCCTTTGCCCACTTTAGCATGCACAGCATTAACTGCAGTATAAGAATAGTTTATAATCTTCCCCTCCCCGTAAGTAGACACAACAAAATGCACAGATCTTAAGTGTTCTGTTATAATTTAGTTTCTCTTGAGATCACATAAATCTTTCACCTTTTAAGTGTTCCATTATATTAGTGTGTGTGTTATACATAACATATGTTATACTCATACTATTATAGATTATCTATCTCTGTCAATCCCCAGAGGACTTTTACCCAAACACTTTGAGTTCATATTCTGTTCAGCCCTACAGCTATTTTCTGGTTAAGGTAAGGAATGATACTGTTTTTAATCCCAGCTTGTTTTAACCATAACTTAGCTTTAGTTCTCATCAGAATATGAACTTTAATTCTAAGAAATTCTTTAGATAGAATCTGCTGGGTAATATATAGAGAACTCCAGGTATACAGTTCTCTGATGCTTTGAATTAGCTGGCTGTCAAAACCTTTGTTACTAGAGTAGCTACATTTT